GTAGAAGCCAGGGCCCTTTGTCATGGAGTTAAACACACATACACAGCCCAGAAATCAGAGAAGCTGACGGGATCCAGGGGAAAGGAGAGAGCAACCGCAGGCTTAGCTGCTGCCTAACACCAAAAAAAATGTGTGAGCTACAAAAGTCTTTATTAGAGTTCTGGAAACTCTTACCTATTTCAATGGTATAATCTCAAAGTTATCAGAAACCCTGAAGGAAAAGCAATTTTGTATTGTGGCTGATTGTAAATGCTTTTAGAGATAAATCAAAACCATTGTTTGTGAATGACAAAGATTTAGAACGGCCATGGTTAAAATCTGATGAGAGAACTCTCAGCATTGTACATTATATTATAACCAGCAATTGACAAAGAAATTTGGTTATTTCTGTGGCATACAACATTTTATCATAATAACCAAAACTGTGACTGATATACTAGATTTCTAGGAATTTCATACAATTTTGGAACACATAATAATATATCCGTACAAATATAACTCAAATAAGGTTAAACATCATTTCTTATTTGACAATGCTTCCCATACAATTTAACATGTCAATAAACCTAATCGGTTTAGTATCTTTCAGATTTTTGGGGGCCCTCTGGAAATCCCAAAGTTAGTTCAAGGTCAAAAAGACTTAATTTTAGAATTTGATTTTGGGAAATTTGTCAAACATATCAAAAGTTTAAAACACTTGATCGAAGTAGGATCACAGGTCACCGTGAAATAACAGTCATTTATTTAATCAGAGTGATCACTTAAAGACTTCAAAAGCAAACACAGGAAGTTAAACAGCTGTAGAAAACCTTAACTCTTAATAAAGAGGAAACTCAGTTTTTCTAAGTAATCAATGACCTAATAAAGAAAACATGAAGCACAGGAAATTATTTTAATAAAACACAGAATCTTTGTTTCCTAGGCTAATTACCTAAAAGGTGAAGAAAAAACTTTCATTATTTTCTACTAAGAGCAGATTAACACTCCAAGAAAACCTTGTTGTTTTAACACAGGGGACTAAATTTTACTTTTGTATTAGTGCAATTTTAATATCAAAGCTTAATTTTCAGAACAACCTATAAACAATTTCCTCCTAATTTTAGCCAAATTGATCACATACAAAATTCCTTCCCTCACAAACCTTCTACAACTTCCCCAATCTCTTACAACTTTCTCAAATCTTCTACAGCTTGCTTAAACCTTCAGTTTTGTCCTACATTTCCTTCCTTTTTTTATATTGGAACACCCAATCATTCTACCTTAGTACAAAAATTTTACTTCCCTTTTTCCCTTACCATTTTGACCGTACAAAATTCTCTCTCATGAAAATCAAAACAAAAAACCTCTTTTTTCAACTTTAAGCCAAAAATTCATCCTCATAACTTTCTTCACATCTCTCTCTCTCCTACTGACTGGTTCCTTCCTTTTTTCTATTTCCTTCCTAAAAGCATATTTTGAAACAACTTTTACATAACCTCCAAATTAGATGAAATTATTCTTTTTAACAAAAAATATACCGTATGTCTTTTTACAATTTTTCTCACCAAAAATGCATCTTACTTTCCTTGTATACTTTGCATACAGAATTGTTTCCCTTGTTTCTATTAATTTTAATTACATATATTAATTAGAATTTTTAATCCTTACCAATTGTGAATCAGCATTCTGTAGACTAACGCCATTTCATAATTCCTAGAAATACATGGTTCCTCAAGTAATACTTCATGTTTATTAACAGACCCACATTTACTTAGTCTTTCTATAAAACTGGTGGCTGGTGGAGGATGCAAACCCTTGACCCTGGTGTTATCTACACCGTGCTCCAACCAACTGAGCTAACTGGCCAGCCCTTTTTATAAAATTGAACAAGCCAAAAATAAACTATGCTCAGCAATTAATGTTTCAGTATTCTAAATTATTTAGAAATGAGACATTTCATAATATCTATTCTTAGCTATAACATGTCTTTAAGATTAAGTTACTGAAAAAGATTTTTGAAATTATAAAAAGTTCATGTATAAACTTTTATTCCACTTCATCCACTTAATTTACTCATTTTTGACAATTATGCTCGAATTGTTCACTGAACAAAGCTAGCCATCATCTCAAGTTATGTTTTGATAAATTGGGCAAGTATTTAAAATAACACAGAAGCAAAAAGACTAAAAAGTTACCCATGATTCGTCCTCCTGTGGGAAAATAGCCTAAGTGATTCAAGAATAGCTTAACAGGGGTTGCTTGACTAACTTGTGGTGTGATAACCCCTGAGCTCTGTTTTGTCCAGGGAGTTTAAATCACACAGGGATTATCTCCTGAATTTTATATTCAGGATTATCTCCTGAACTTTATCTTATAGGGAAACTGTTTAACTGGTCTTTTTTTCATAGAAGAAAGGCAATGCAGACAGAGTTAGTAGATTGTGAATATTCAGGAGTTATGTCAGTTTTACCATCCTTGGTATGGGCAATATCTTGTATTTCAGACTGTTTAACTCTATAGCCTTTGTCTTCTAATTTAGTTCAAGGAAAAAAACAATACTCTGGGGAAGTCTGAATGGTCTTCATGAAGGCCATTGGAACTCCAAATCACTCTTGGTGTAATTTGCCCATTAGCTTAAAAATGTTCATGAGAATGGATGGACCATAATGTTTGAATATCCAGCTGGCTGGAGTCCCTGAAGAGAGACTATCTTGGCATGCCTCAGAATTTGGGGGGTCCCATTATGTTTCTTATTAATCATTCAAGAGCAAAATCCAGACCCTCTTCCAAAGGCAGCCAAAGAAATATTTAACATAACAGTTGGGGTGCAACCCACATTTCTGTCCAGTCATATTCTTGGCAACTCCCAACCTTTTGGTTGGTTGACTAAGTTCTCAGGACAAAAAAACAAGACAAACAGGAAAGCAGTAGCTGTCCACAGGAGGGAAACGATCATTAACAAATGGGTACCCCAAAACTAAGATTATTCAGTTCTTTAGAAATTAAGGATTGCATTTTTATGTTGGATCTTGGGTCTCTCAGGGCCAAGATGGTTTGGCTCTGAGAGCCCCTTGACCAACTTAGCCAATGATTTTCCTTACCTCAGCGGGCAAGAAGAGAAGAAATGAAGAGGATAGATACCTGTGAATTCTAAAAGCCAGAATTTGCCCCTGCAGTAATAACTACTTATTACAACCACTGTCAGTTGCCTTTAAATTGCAGTCCTTGCCTACGATTCCTCAGCTACTGCAAACCCAAAAGTCATATGCCTCTCATGGCACAGACTAACCCTTGATACCCCAAGGACAAATGTTCTCTCACAGAATTAACCCTGGATTTGAATGCCAAAAAGATCGGGGGTCTCAATGCAAACTGCAGAGCCTGGCCTGAGAGGAAGTACAACTACCCTCGGGACTTTGTGAGGAAGACAGATGACCATTAATGCAGGGTTAGTGGCATCTCTCCTGCATTCCTCAAAGGGTCTCGGGAGTTATTAGCAGTCTCCCTCAGGTCCCTTTGTTGGTCATCAGATCTGCCAAAGGACAAAATTACAACAATTTAGTTTAAAGATCTTAACTGGCTTTATTTTCAATTCTAGAATCAGGCAACACTTCATTCCATAAAAATAGAATGAGTGTTCTGATGAGCTTAGCAGAGAAGAAAATTGATTTTTTTTTTTTTATAAAGATGACCGGTAAGGGGATCTCAACCCTTGGCTTGGTGTTGTCAGCACCACACTCAGCCAGTGAGCAAACCAGCCATCCCTATATAGGATCCGAACCTGTGGCCTTGGTGTTATCAGCACCGCACTCTCCCACCTGAGCCATGGGCCGGCCTAGGAAATTGATTTTAAAGACAGAGAAGGGCTGAAGAAAACAGAAACAAAGAATAAAAAGTGGATTGTTTGTTTAAGTTACTTTCCTTGTAAGGTGGGAACAGGGAAACAGAACAAAAAAGAGGGGCCGGCCCGGTGGCGCACTGCTTCAGTGCGCCGCTTGGGAGTGTGGCGGCACTCCCGCCGAGGGTTCGGATCCCACATACAGACCGGTTCCCGCTCACTGGCTGAGCGAGGGGCGGGCGCAGCACCGAGGGTTGCGATCCCGTTGCCGGTCCCGGTCCGGTACGGGCGCGACACTGAGGGTTGCGGTCTGTTACCAGACATGAAAAAAGACAAAAAGGAAAAAAAAAAAAGAACAAAAAGAAATAACTGGTTAATTAATATCTGGTTACTTCAGGTTACTTTTTGTTATAAGGATTAAAGACAGAGGGAACTTCATTATCATGCTGATTGAACTGGCCTGTTTGGGAAATTAGGCTGTTATCTCTCTCTCCTGATTTCTCAGAAGGTCAAATAACAACTCCGTTTTGGTTTGGTGATGTAGAACCTCAGCACAAGTGACTCCATTTTGATCTTTGGTCTGTTGGGGCCTAGTGCAGGAGCCTAGTCCAAAACAATGGCCTCCTATAATTTCTGCTTAATGGTATGCATAACCAAGGCCCATCTTACCAGTGATGGTAAACCATATTAATTGTAGGGCTCAATCCAAAGGTATTCACTTCGCATCTCCAACAAACATGAAAAAATATGCTTTTTCAAATAATATATTCCCACGGCTTCCCCCAAGAATCTGATATGGTCTCCATCTCAGAAGGGTGGTCCCGCCAATTGAAGATTACTGGTTTACGAAATCACCAAAAAAGATTACAGTTTAAGGATGGAAGTATTTTATTCCATTAGTAATTTAGTATTCCTCTTCCCAACCCTCAATTACTCACAGATGTTGCACTTAATAGTTTTCTCTGGTGCTTTGTGGGTTCCTTTCAACATGTTTACAAACTGCTCTGGTCTCCTGGTTAGGTGGTATTCAGGAGACCAACACTGGGCTCAAACCCAGTTTCTTGCTGATAATTTCTTGGTCCTAACACTGAAGCCAAATCTTATCAACTAGCATTTAACCTAATCTTACCAATAACAGTTTAACTAGGGACTTCCAAAACCTGTACTATGCATGTGTTTGTGGTGTGAATTGCAGTCTACTTTTTTTTTACTACTGACAATAAATTTCAAGGGTCCTGGAAAAAACTGCATGTGATTTGGGCCCAGTTGTTTAGGTAGCCTGAGGGAAGCCCTCATTCCTGTTCATCAAGGGTGGTGTCTGATTCCCACTCCTCAAATTTATGCACTACATAGAAAGCCTTTAGAAACTCATTAAAGTCAATGCTTCCATCTTGGTTGAAGTCCATTAAGCTGGCGAGCTCATCAACTTGGGAATCATCAATATGTTCAACATTGTAGTGAAGACTGAAAAGTCTCCACATGGCACGAAATTCTTCCATGGAAATCAGGCCTAAAACAATATAAGAGAAGGTTGTAAGTGTTCATTTTAAGACCCACCTAAGAGAAGAAGGGAAGCCACAATGACAGAATAGGCCCAATTAGAAGCTCACTAACATGCCTGACCATCAAGACAAGAGAAGATCATAATTAAAAGAAACAATGTGTCACTTTCAACTACCAAGAGATCCTGAGATTATTCTAAAGCCAGAATGAGTAAACAGGAAAGAAATGGGGAGAGGACTGTGGACTGTGGGACTAAATGTGGTAGAGAAATGACAGGATCTAAAAGTCTAAGGGTAAGGGACACAGATGGAGTGCAGACAGGACAGCATCATCAAAGCAGAGGAAGAAGACACCCTGGGAGTCAATAAGAAGATTGCAAACAATGGTGCTGCCTTTTTTATAGGCAATAATTTACTTTCAGGTGTCAATTATTGATTTTTTATAATCAATCATAATAATATTGATGTTCAAAGGTATCTTAATCAACATCAATAATATTGATGTTCAAAGGTATCTCTGGTAGGGGATTATCTGATAACTTATTTTTAAGTTTGAAAATAAGTAATTGCGCATCAAAGCTAAGCAGAAAATGAGTTCCATAGGCCTCAGTCCCAAAAACAGAATCAGAACTCTAGGAATGATTTTTATTGCTAGGAGTAACTAAGATATTAAAATGGACAGTGAATTATATTTTCATCTATGCTGGTGATTTATAACAGGAGCTATTCCAGTTTGACCGATGCCTACATAGGCTTTTGTAGAACTCTATGGTCTTGAATAGTTTGTGGCCAAACTAAAATAACAATAATATTAAACATGAGTTTATTTTTTCCCCTCAAGTGTCATCAAGTTTGGATGAAGAATGAGATAGATAAAAACAAAGTTCTGATTTCAAAGAAATGGACTAGTCTTTGCTTTCCACTACTACTGAACTAATCAGAGTTCATTTACCTGAGTGATCAGAGTCCATGATATTAAATATGATTTGCAGGTCAGATCGGTATCTGTACAGAGTTTCAACTAGAGTAGACTGAATCTAAAATAAAGATTTTTTAAGTGTTAAAACATAGAATTAATGACACAAATAAATTTTAGAAAATGTAACAAAAGCAAAACATCACCACCAATTCAAATTATGTGACTTAGATAGAAATTTTAGTCTCCAACCTTTACTTTTACTTCCCTTCTCTCTGCTCTTACTTCTCATTGTCCCTGCAAATGATCGCCCAAGTCCAATAAGCTCACTTTCAGCTCAATGTTATAACTAACTGTTGATGAGTTGTTAACTAATAAGTACTAGGATCTGATAACTCTCTGGGGTATTACCATTTTAATAAGGGAGTCTACACTTTCAAAATCATCAAGGCATATTCTGGGTCTTTTCAGCAAGTCTATACACTCACAGTTTAATAAGGAATACATTAAGTATTTTAAATGGTGTGTTGTATGAAAGAATGAATGTCACATCTGCCCTTCTGCTGGACAGCACTTGAAATGAATTTGCTTGCCAAAGCTTTTTCTTTTTACCTGTCCTTAGAACACACAAATTTCCTGAACAGATCAAAAGGTACCTGGGAGATTTCCCTTCACCCTTTCCTACCTAAGACTGCCACTCCCATCCATTAGATGATGCACTCCCAAGTTTCCAAAGGACTAAGTTGCTCTTATAGGTTGTCCAAAGGATGTTTTGCCCCAGCTAGGTTTTAGCTGGGGCTATGTTTCACTTGCCTCTTCCACAGGTTTTTCAATGTGGATATTCTGGAAGCTGGACATGTAGTCAATATTTCCATCTTCGTCTGTCTTTACCAGATGTGAACTCAGAGACCTCCATGGTAAATTCAGCCCCAAAGTCTTCTCCATGGAAAAAGCCCACTGGGTCTTAGACAGTTTTCCTAACAATAACAACAAAGCCCATATAATTTGCTTATACAGTAATTTAGTAAAAAAAAAAAAATGCAACCTCCTTGGCAGAGCCAGTAGGCTGCCTGGGGTTTTAAGGCCTCAGGGCCTGCTGCTCTCCTAATTTATGATTTATCCTTCCTGGCCCCACTGTCCTGAGGGAGGAATAACTAAAGAAAGTCTTTAGTATTGCCCATAATGTCACATGTAAGAAATCAGACTTTGGGTATTAGATTTTTTTTCCCCTTTTTCTGAGTAACAAAACAAGGTATGCTTATTTTAGATTTGAAAACACAAAAGAATATAAAGAATAAAATATTTACTTTTATTTTTAATATGTTGATATATTAGTCACCTGTCATTTTCCCAGCTAATATCTTTTTTCCTCTAATATTATACATTATTTTTCAAGCTATGAATATTTTTATTTTTTCTGATTATTAAAGATATGCTCATTTTAAATAATTTTGAATATACAGAAAACATGCTATTATATTTAGTCTTTTTTCTATGTATATAAACATGTATATACATAAATGTATATATTTTTTCTCTTTCTTAAAATCTAATCAAATATGCATTGTACACTAGCAGATGTTTTATATACATGTATTGCATATGACAAAACACACACACACATTTATTCTAATTTGTTTTTTTACTTAAAATAAATCAGAGACATCCATCTATGTTAATAAACATAGATCTACATCATCGTTTTAATGGCTGTCAAACTATTCCATTATCTCCTTAGGATCATTCCTAGGAGTGAAATTGCAAGATCAAAGGGTATGCAGCTTTTTAAGCTTTTGATATATATTGCCAAAATGCTTTCAAGAAAGAGTCTATCCATTTACATTCCCACTAGACAATTCTGCCACATATAACTCTGTATTTTTTTAATTGGAGTTTAACATACAGAAAAATTCACAGAACAAATACAGAGCTCAGTGAATTATTACAAAGGGAACACTTGTATAACCACCACCAAGGACAAGAAATAGAACATTGCCAATATCCAAAGGCCCTCTTGTGACCCCTCACAATTACTATCACCTTCCACTTTCCCAAGGAGGGCCACTATCTTGATTTCTAACACTGTGGTTTATTTTTTCCCTTTTTTTTTAATCCCTATACAAATGAAATTATAAAGTATATATTTCAGGGGGAGGAGGGGTCTGGTTTCTTTTGCTCTATACTAAGTTCATGAGATTCAGCTATATTGTTCCATTTAGCTGTAGTGTCTTCATTTTCATTGACATATACTACCCCTATGAATATTCATAGGTATGAATATTCACAATTTGTATATCCAGTGTACTATTGGTGGACACTAGGTTACCTCCAGTTTGTGGCTATTACAAACAGTGCTGCTGAGAACATTTCTGTACATGCCCCTTTGGTGCATCTATCTACTCATATTTCTGTTCAACATATACCTTGGAGTGAAACTGCTGGATCATAGGGCATGTGTAATGTTCAGCTTCATTTGATACTCTAGTTTTCTGAAGTGGTTACACCAATTTAGACTTTTACCAGCAGTATATAAGAGTTCCAGTTGGTCTACATGTTTGCCAACACTTGATATTATCAGCATTTTTTCATATCAGCTGTTTTAAGGGATGGGTAGTAATACCTGATTGTGGATTTAATTTGCATTTTCTAGATGACTAAAGAGGTGGAGAACCTTTTCATATATTGGCTATTTGGATATCCTTTTTGGTGAACTGTCTATACATGTCTTTTGCCAAGTTTTCTACTGGATTTTCTTTCTTTTTCTTACTGATTAGTAGGTATTATTTATATCTTCCAGATATGAGCCTTTTGTTAATTACGTGTGTTGAAAATATCTTCTCTTATTTGGTGGCTTGACTTTTGTCACTTCTTTAAAAATGTTTGATGAACAGAAGTTTGTAATTTTAATGTAATTAAACTGACCACTCTTTTCCTTATGGTTAATAATTTTCAGTACTGTTTATGAAATATTTGCCAGGCCCAATGGCATAAATAAATTTTCCTGTCATATTCCAGAAGCTCTGGTATTTGTCTTTCATATTTATATCTACAATCCACCTGGAGCTGATTCTCTTATACACTGTGAGCTATCAGCTGTTTCTATTTTTATATGGATATCCATTTGGCCCGGGATCATTTATTGAAATGACTGTCCTCTGCCCACTGTTCAGGAATGCCACCTTCAAGTGTACATATATGCATGAAATCTGTTAGGGGTTCTCTATTTGCTTCCATTTGTCTATACAGGTATCCTTGTGCCAATTCCATACTACTGTAACTACTGAATCTTTAGAATACATCTTGATATATAACAGGGAAAGTTCTCCCATCTTATCTTTCTTCAAGAATGTCTCAGCTGTTTTTGGAATTTTGCACTTCCACATAAATTTTAGATGCAGATTCTCAAGATTTACCAAAAAATCTCCACTTTGGGATTATGATTGGGATTGCACTGAACCTATAGCTCAGTTTGGGACGAATTTATATCTTGACAACTTCAACTCTTACAGTCCTTGAACACAGCAATATCCACCCATTTATTTTGGTCCTCTTTAATTTCTCTTAATAATATTTTAGAAAGCTCATATATCATTCATTAGGTTTCTTCCTCGGTACTTGATTATCTATTGTGAATGGTATCTTTTAGGATTTTCTTTATCTAAAAATTCATTGCTGGCTACTCCAGTTATCAATTCATTCCCACTCAATTCCAAAACTACTCTTCTTTGCCCTGTTTTGTGATACAGGAGTTGGACCTTATAAACATTTCTCCTCTGGCAGCTGGTATAATGTTAGGTTTTGTTAGTAGAGGGTACAGGAAGAATACTGCGAGGCATAGCAGGAGAAATAGCTTTTCTTTTTGTTTCTGGTATGCTTTGCTTCTTATTTCTACAGCACAGCATGGTTACCAGAGATGTGTGAGAAATGCAGTGGCACCTACCCTCTAGTGAATTTCACTGACACCACAGTGGGTGGCATCCTTGCCAGCAATGTGTGAGAGACACAGTGGGGCACAGCCCAAAAAGAGTTTTGCTGGTACTCGAGTGGGTGGCTCTATCCTCTGCAGTCCTGGCCCACTAGCTGGAGACCAACTCTGACTTGAAGCACCTCAGCGAACTTCTGCCCTGTCCAGTGGGCCGCAGCCACATCCTCTCCAGTGAGGTCTGAATCTCAGACTTCGTTAGGCGTAGGGGACTCTCCCAAGTTTGTTCCTTCTTTGAGCATTCTCTCTCAGCCTTAGAAATAGTAGTTCCTCCCTATACTTGCTATTTCTTATATTCTTTAGAGTTCTCTTTTATCTCTTTTAGTAGTTAATCACCTTTCACTAGTTAGTAATTCTTTGTATATTAAATCTCCCTGTTCAAATCTGTATCCTGTTATCTTCTGACTGATACACTAGAATATGGAAATGCAATCAATTTCTGTGTACTGACCTTGTGTTCAAGCACTTGCTAAATTCATTTATTAATCCTAATAGTTTTTCTGTGCATTTGTTTGGATTTTCTATATACTCAACCATGTTGTCTATACATAATGACACTTTGCCTTATTGTACTGGTTAGCATCCCTAATACAATGTTGAACAGATATCTTGATAGTGGACATCTCTATTAGTTTCCTATTGCTTCTGTAACAAATTATCACAGGCTTAGTGGCTTAAAATAACACAAATTTATTCTCTTAGTTCTGGAGGTCAGAAGTTCAAAATCGGTTTCACTGGGCAAAAGTCAAGGTGTTGGCAGGGCTGGTTCCTTCTGGAGGCTCTGAGGGGAGGATTTGTTTCCTTGCCTTTTCTAGCTTCTAGGGGTTGCCTATATTACTTGGCTTGTGGTCCCTTCCTCCATCTTCAAAGTGCATCAATTTAATATGTGCTTCCATCATCACATCACCTTCTCCTCTGACTCTTTTTCCTCCTATGTCCCTTTTATGAGGACAGCTGTGATTACATCAGGCCCACTTGGATAATGCAAGATAATCTCCCCAGGTCAAGATGCTTAAATTAATCACATCTACAAAGTCCCTTTTGTCACTTAAAGTAACATTCACAAATTCTTAGGATTCAGATGTGGACATATTGGAGGGCAGGGCATTATTCAGCCTATCACAGCATCCTTCCATCATCCCCAGTCTTATAAGGAAAGGTTTCAACATTTCTCCATTAAGCACACTATTTTCTATAGGCTTTGGTAAATGTCCTTTATGAGATTAAGGAAGTGCATTTCTATTCTTAGTTTTCTAAATGCTTTTTAAACCGTGAAATACATCAAATCATTTTTTCTTATTTGAAGAGAATTATATGACTTCTTTAATTTTGTAAAGTGGTGAATTACACTGATCGATTTTTCAATGTTAAAACAACCTAGAATTCCCAGAATTCCTAGAATAAACCAAACTTAGCTGTGATATATTAATCTTTCTCTAGTATTCCATTTGGGATTTTTTTTTTCATCTGAATTTACAAATGAGATTAGCCTTCAATATTCCTTTTTCATAATGTTCTTAATGTTAGGTTTTGGTATCAAGGTTATGCTGACCTCCTAAAATAATCTGGTAAGTGTTCCCTCTATTTCTGTTCTCTGGAAGAGTTTGTGTAAGATTGCCTTTATTTCTTTCTTAAATGTACAATGGTACTTCAAAAAGTTCATGGAAAGATTTATATTCTCTTTTAATTCTATTTTTCCATGAAGTTTTTGGAAGTACCATCATATATTGTAAAGGCTAATGAAGCTGAGTGCAGAGCTTTCTTCATGGAAAGTTTTAAAATTTCAGATTCAATTTCTTTAATAGTCACAAGGTTGCTCAGATTTTCTACTTATTTTTGTGTCATTTTTTGCAGGGAGGGTGTGTATACATACATATTTCAAGAATTTGTCCATTCGATCTGAAGTTTCAATTCATTGGCATAAAGTTTTCTATAGTGCATCTTATGATCTTTTTAATATTTGTAAGTCTGTAGTAATATCCTCCTTTTCAATCTTGGCAGTGGTTATTCATGTGTGTGCACATGCGCATGCACGCCCTCTCTTTCTCTCACCAGCATTTTATCATCCTTACCAGTTTCTCCAAAGAACCATTTTTCTTTCACTTTGTTGATCCTACTTTCATCTTTTAAAATATATGCATTTAAGGTTATCAATGGCTCTCTAATTTGCATCCCATAAGTTTTAAAATGTTGTATTTTCATTATCACTCAGTTTCAGCATTCTAATTTCCACTGTGATTTCTTCTTTGATCCGAGGATTATTTAGAAGTGTATTTCTCATTTCCAAGCAAAAGGGGGATTTTATGTTTACCTTATGTTACTGAGTTGTAGCTCAATTCACTATGTCAGAGAATTTATTCTGTAATGTTTCCAATCCTTCAAAATCCATTGAGATTTACTTTATGTTCCAATTTATGGTAAATTTTTGTAAATGTTCCATTTGTGCTTGATGAGAATATTTACTCTGAAATATTAGGTGCAAAGTTCTATATATGCCTTTTAGGGAAAGTTTGCTAATCTTTTGTCTGTCTGTTCTTTTAGTTCCTGAGAGAGGACTATTAGAATCTCCCACAATGATGGTAGATTTTTCTACTTCTACTTGTTCTGTCAATTTTTGTTTTACATATTTTTGAGGCTATATTAATAGGTGCTACACATCTGGAATAGATTCAACCAGAATAATGAATATTTTATCATCATGAATTATCCCTTTTTATTTCTATTAATGTATACTTCCTTAGAGTCTACCTGTCTGATATTACTAGAGCTGTTCCAGCTATGCTTTTGTTAGTGTTTTCATGGTATATCTTTAACTAAATTTAACTTCCAATGTTTTGTGTATATGATTCCAACATCTATTGACTTCTTCTGCAACTGTTAAGAAGTGTACTAGTCTAATTGTTGTCTCTTTGTAGCAATGTATATTTCCTCGCTGCCTGCTTTTAAGATTTTCTCTTTTCTATTGGTGCTCTATAGTTTCACCCCAAGTGTGTATAGTTGTGGATTTAATTTTATTTATCCTGTTTGAGAATGATTGTTCCGTTAACTTATGAATTTGAGTCTTTCATAGTTCTGGATAAGTCTCAGGCATTATCATGTCAAATATATTCTCTATATTCTTTCCTCCTGGTATCCTGATTAGGTGTACGTTAAACCTTGTCATTTTACTGTTCATAACCTTAATCTCTCTAATTCTTTCTTGAGCAGTGTCTAACCCTCTGTTTAACCAATCCATTATGCTTTTTTTTATTTCAACAAGTATATTTTTATATCTATTTGGTTCTTCTTCAAATCATTTTCAAATGTATGTTAGTGATTTCATCTTTTACTTCTTTAAACATTTCTTACCTAGTTATTCTATATTTGGTATTTGACAATTCCAATATCTGATGTCCTTGGCGAACTAAATCTGTTATTTATTGTTCCTGAGGACTCTCACTCATGGTAGCTTGTCTCCTTGTTTGTTTGGTAATCTTTGGTTGTGAGTTCATGTTGGTTGAGCTTAATCTCTGGATACACTAGTGGCCAAAATTAGGGGTGCCTCCCTGGAAGATGAATTTGCATTTGCTTGCCAGGAGTCAGGGAGTATTACAGACTTAGGACTACTTTAGACACTTTGAGGGTCCAGACTTAATGTGGAAGTCTCAAATTCAGCTTTTTCATCTTTCTACTATACAGTTTAGTCTCAGGACTGATTGTTACGCCAGTATTAGCATTTGCTCCCAGGACAATCCAGCCTTTTGTGTTTGCTTGCTGTGCCATGCTCCTATGTGTGGCTTCAAATCCCCTTTCATGAGGAGTGGAGATGCAGCCAGGAAGGAGATTTACTTTACTGTGAGGCTGGTAAATGCATTAAAATTCTGCATCCTCCAGAACCTAGCTGTTTCTTAACAAAAAAGCTATCCAGAGTGTCTAGTCTGAAATACTACCAGAAAAGAGGTCTAATTCAGGGTTGTTGCTGGTTTTTTAAGTTGAAAGATTATAAAAGAGAAATATACCTTTTAAAGTAAATAATGGATTATATTTTGTTTTTATATCTATTATTTCTTTCTAGGAAAAATAGAAAACTGAAATCTTAAGTAAGCAAAGAAAACTGATCTGTATGTAACCAGGTATGTTAAATGGTAGGCATTACATAATTTTATTACCTGATTTAGTGTAGTCTTGAAGTTGGAAAGCACGAATAAGGTCAGTTTTTTGTGCAATTATTCTCTCTCTTAATATTCTGATGGCACTGCATTCCATGGCATCCACCCTATGTTAAGAAAACAATCACTAGGTGAAAGTTATATAAATCATCCTGTAGTGTTTCATTTTAATGTGCTATTTATCACTCACCAGTGTCCAATTTAAATGAATTACGTAAATTCACACATACTATGTTACTAGATGGTGAATGTATGCATATATTATATATATGTGTATGTTCATTTTGTGAAATTTTTTAAAGGATTACAAATAGTATTTTCTTTTGGATTTCATAGATTCACATGAACAATTATTTGAAAAGCAAGAAAAATAAAGAGGAACTTACTATTCCAGATATTGAAATTTACCATTAAGTTACTGAAACAAAACAACAGGTATTGACACAAGAGAAGACAGAGATACATGAACAGAAAATAATAGAAATTTCATAAATATATCCAACTATATATGGGAACAATATATATAACAACAGAGGTATTACAATTCCATAGAAAAGAACATTTTTAAAAAAATGGTGCTACCATAGTTGGCTAACCATCTGGACTTAAATCTCTACCTCAGACCATTTACAAAAATAAATTGAAATTAAAAAGGAAAAGAGGAATAAAATAGTCATTATATATATACATATATACACACACAGCTATATATAGCAATACATATATATAGATAGACATAGATATAGCAAAATGGCAGCTGTAGATCCAACCATATCAATAATAATATCATATGCAAATGGGATTAATAATCAAATCAAAAGGCAGAGATGTGAGACTGGATAAAAACAAAACAAAACAAAATCCAACTATATGTTGTCTACAGGAGACACACTTTATTTTTAAAAACACAAAGAGTTTGATAGAAAAATGACAAAAAAAGAAATACCATGCAAACAGCAACCATGAGAGCTAGAGTGGCCATACTAATAGTAGACAAAATAGACTTTAAGACAGAAACTGTTACTAGATATAAGAGTTAGTAACTTAAGACAATAAACAATTATAAACATATATGAACCTAACAACAGAGCCCAAAAATATATGAAGCAAAAACTGACGAAGGGAAAAATACACAATTCAACAATAACAGTTGGGACTTCAATAACTACTTTTAATAATGGATAGAACAACTAGGTGGAAAATCAACAAGGATATAGAAGACTTGAACAGCACTCTAAACCAATTAGAGCTAACACATATGTATAAAACAGTCAACCCCAAAACAACAGAATATACATTCTTTTAAAACATTCTCCACAATGTAACTGATGCTAGGCCATAATATAAGCCTTAACAGATTTAAAAGAATTAATATCATAGGAAGTATCTTTTCTGACCACAAAAGAAATAAATTAGAGATTAATAACAAAAAGAAACTTGAGAAATTCACAAATACAAGGAAATCAAACAACAGAATCCTAAATAACCAATGGGTCAAAGAAGAAATCATAAGATAAATTAGAAAATACTTTAAGATGAATGAAAATACTGGCACACAACATCCAACAACATAAAACGTATATACACCATGAGCAAGTGGGATTTATTCTAGGAATGCAAGGTTTGTCTAATGTCTGAAATCAACCAATGTAATACATCATATTAATAAAGAACAAAAACCACATGATCATCTGAATAGATACAGAAAAAAGTATTTGACAAAATCAAACACTCATGAGAAAAACACTCAATAAACTAGGCATAGAAAGGAACTTCCGCAACCTGATAAGGGTGTCTGTAAAACTACATGGTTAATATCATACTTAACAGTAAAGAGAGTGAATGCATACCTCTTAAGACCAGAAAGAAAACAAGGATATTTGCTCTCACCAGTTTTATTCAATACTGTACTTGAGGTTCTAACCAAGACAATTAGGCAAGAAAAAGAAACAAAATGCATCTAGACTAGAAAAGAAAAAGTAAAACTATCTCTATTAACAGATTATATAATCTTGTATACAGAGAATCTCAAGGAATCCACTAAAAATTATCAATAAACTAGTTCATCAAGACTGTACAATACAAGATTAATATACAAAAATCAATTGTATTTCTATACACTAGAAATCAACAATCCAAAAATATAAACAAGAAAACAATTTTATTTAGTATAGCACTAAAAAGAATAAAATACTTAGAAATAACTTTAGCAAAATAAGTCCAAGACTACTACACTGAAAAGTACAAAACTTTGTTGAAGGAAATTAAAGAGGACCTAAATAAATAGAACAATATTACATGTTCATGAATTGAAAGACTTAATACTGTTAAGATGGTGATAGCCTTCAAATTGATCTATAAATTCAATATAATCCCTATCAAAATCCCAGCTGGCATTCTTACAAGTTTACAAGCAGATTCTAAAATTCATAATGAAATGCAAGGAGCCCAGAATAGCCAAAACGATCTTTAAAAAGATGTATAAAATTCAACTGACATTTCCCAAATCTAAAACTTACTACAAAGCTACAATAATTAGGACGGTGTTGTACTCGTATTAGGATAGACATATAGACAAATGGAATACAACTTAAAGTCCACAAATAAATCTTTACCTTATGGTCAATTGATTTTTGACAAGTGTGCCAAGGCAATTAAATGAAAGAAGAATAGTGTTAATGATTATTCTTCATTAAGATATCATTAAGATAGATTAATGATGCCAGGACAATTGGATATCCACATGTAAAAGAATAAAGTTGCACCCTTACCTCATACCATATGCAAAAATTAACTTAAAAGGTATCAGAAACCTAAATGTAAGAGGTAAACCTATAAAACTCTTACACGAAATCACATCCTTATGACTCGGTTAGGCAATGGCTTCTTAGATACAATACTAAAAGCATAAGCAACAAAGGAAAAAAACAGATAAATTGGACTTCATCAAAATGAAAAACTTGTATTGCAAGCAAATGGTATCATCAAGAAAGGGAAAAGACATCCTGTCAAACAGGAGAGAACATTTGCAAATCAAATATCTAATAAGGACATGTACACAGAATATATAAAGAACTCTTACAATGATAAAAAGAGTAATAACTCAATTAAAAAGGGAAAGAAGAAATACATATTTCTCCAAAGAAAATATACGAATGTCCAATAAGCATGTGAAAAGATGCTCAACATTATTAATCAGCAGGGAAACACAAATCAAAACCACAATGAGATTCTACCACCTCATACCCACTAATAGGGCTACAATCAAACAGATCATAACAAGGGTTAGCAAGGATGTGGCAAAATGGAAATCCTCATACACCAATGGTAGGAATGTAAAATTGTCTGGCCCCTTGGGGAAAAGCTTGCAAGTTCCTCAAAATGTTAAACATAGAGTTATCATATAAACCAGAAATTCTACTCTCAAGAATATGCTCAAGGGAAATGAAACATACATACACACAAAAACTTGTCCACAAGTGTTCATAACAGCATTATTCATAATAGCCCCAAGGTGGGAATGACCTAAATGTCCATCAACTAATGAATGGATAAACAAAATGTGTTATATCCATAAAATGAAATATTAGTCAGCCATAAAAAGGGATGAATTACTGATATAGATTACAACATGAATGACCTAAAACTTTGCGCTGAGTGAAAGAAGCCAGCCATAAAAGACAACATATTGTGTGATTCCATTTATATGAAATGCCCAGAATAGACAAATCCATAGAGATAGAAAATAGATTAGTGGTTGCTTAGAGCTGTGATGGAAGGAGGTGACTGGGAAGTGACTGCTAACGAGTATGAGCTTTCTCTTTAGGGTGCTAAAAATGTTAAAAAAAAATTAGATAATGATGATGGTTGCATAAATCTGTAAATACACTAAATATAATTGAATTATAAATGGGACATTTAGGGGCCGGCCCGGTGGCGCACTGGATAAGTGCGCCGCTTGGGAAGCGCGGTGGCGCTCCCGCCCGAGGGTTCGGATCCCACATACAGACCGGTTCCTGCTCACTGGCTGAGTGAGGCGCGGGGGCAACACCGAGGGGGCAACACCGAGGGTTGGAATCCCGTTGCCGGTCCCCAGTCCGGTACGGGGGCAACACTGAGGGTTGCGATCCGTTGCCGGACACGGAAAAAGACAAAAAGACAAAAAAAAAAAAAAAAAAAAAAAA